AATATTTCAAATATATATGACGATGAGTTCTTTGAGGAAGTCGAATATTTTACATACATGTTGATGTGTTCTGTGAGGATGTTCAATATTTTACATACATTTTGATGTGTTCTATCAGGAAGTTCAATATTTTACTTATTGTTGTCTCACTAAAATTCAGATGATATTTCCGTCCTGATTCTTTGAAGATGGTGATGTAACTATATCTTTGGTATCTACGTTTAGTGTCAAACACGCCCTGGCTGTTTCCACGTCGAATAGTTGAGCAACGTTTTCCGTTCAATAGGATATGATGTGAATATATCAGAGGCATCTCGTTGGATCAGTCTGTAGCAAAGTGAACATATAGTTCATGGGTGGAAAGCCCCAGTCGGGATATTTATTCCATATAGGCTATTTTCTTACAAAGCACAAATAATGTTTACAAATTCTTTTGAGACGTAACACGTGCTACGTAAACCATTTCATGTTTGGCGAAGCCTCCTAAAGACGTCATGGGTGCCTAAAGTGAAACTGTACGTCAACGTACAAATACAACGCCAATGCTGCGACAACGAATACATACTAGAGACGCTGTGGTGCACAAAACATCGGCGAAAATGCCTCCTGGTGACTGGGCTACCAAATTCATATGTTACACTAGATCTACTTTCACGGATTGGTAACCTTGATAAAATATTGACGCTAATGGTTAGCAGTTTATGTCCTTAAACCATCAATTAAATAATGTATAACATTCAACAATCAAGCTTTCGATCAATCAATCAACCAACCAACCAAATATAATTTGTATAATTGATAAAAATCAGCTGTGGCACGTGAATAACACAATGTAAAAAGGAATTCCGTGATTTGACAGAACTCAAGTTACAGATTGAATTATTTATTCCAAACATACTGCATGTAATAGTTAAACACATAAAATACATTTCAAATATAGGTTACATTTCCGGGGTTTATTTTACAATATGTTGTTGTGTGTTAGAAGAGGCGGTAAGTTTACCATAGTTTATAAAACAGTTCAATAAATGCACCGTTATATGGTGGACTAGTCATAAATGTGTTCTCTTGTCACAGAGAAGATCCGTTTTGATTCCTCACGTACGAACAATGGTTGAAACCCATTTGTTATGTCCTCCCGTGGGGGTTCCGGGTTAGAAGAGGCGACCCGATGGATCGGTTGGTCAGACTCGATGAGTAAGTTAATAGCGTGTCTTCGTGTCATGATGACATAGATCGTAGCAATATCCATCACTGGATTGTCAGGTCCAGATTCGTTTAATTTCAGCCGTCATCATGTAGCTTGAGTATTTGCGGAGTGCGGCGTTAAACAACAAAGAAACATGTCTCTTATGTCCCCTGCCGTTATAAGGGGCATACAATCTTAAGCTCCCTATTATTTTCACAGATACTCTGCAAAACAAGAAACGCAAAAGTAGTAAAATCGTAAATATCCGACAAACTGTTGCCGACATCCATACTAAATTGATACCACAAAAGAATAAGATATTTCTGCATGGACTGGGATTGATCTGTGTAGAAGGAATGAGGTATTGCCGAATATTGCAAAATCACGACCACGTGAGAACCTGGCGCCGAAACACACAAACATGACATGCAACATCACTTGTTGGGATTTGAAAATGTTGGTTTGTCATTTGTATGCCATCACAATCTTACAGCAACATGCCACGACAGACGGAACGTTATGCACAAAATTGCAAACAGGAAGTGGGCAGATTTGGTGGTGGTAGTGTGATTATGTGGGTAGCCATCTAGTACACGGGTAGAACAGACTTAGTGCAAGTTATGGGGAACTTAACGGCACAACGTTACACAGACGAGATTCTTCGTCTTCGGCCACACGTCCTTCCCATTATGGAACAAAAGACAACATTCGACCTTCAACGGCAAATCTGACAACAGCCTTTAGCCTTTATCACAACATCCAGGTCTTGCCTGGCCCTCCAAGTCTCCAGATTTAAAACCAATCAAACATTTGTTGAAAACTGTGGGCAGAGTGGGTGAACATTCCCCAGGCCACAACTCGGGATCTGATTGCTTCCATGGGACGACGATGCTATATAAGATACTGAGAACAGGTTACCTTCACCTTGAAAATATACTGTTTCACGTGTGCAATATGGAACCTTGGTCAGTGACTATGATGTGTGCCACTTTTGAACAATCAATTACCTTTTGTTGAGAATTAATATGATACATAAAAAATACATCTGAAATCACTTTTGCGTTTTTGTTTTTGCAGAGTATACATGTTACTTTTGTCGTCTGCAAAATTATCTTCATCTTGATATACGAGGTTGATAAGCATATTGCTTACATTCTCATTGAGGCCACCCTGCATATAAATGGGATTACCGGTCATTCTGTAACCACATCTGTAATTTCTCTGTCGTTGTTTGAACTCACGTCAAATCCTGGAAAACAATACTTAATATCTTGTTTTATAATTGTCATAAAGGAAGAAAGATGATGCACACTGGAGAAGGGAAGAAGGTGTCGTCGAATGTATGTGGATAAGTTGATGTGTGTGTGTGTGTGTGTGTGTGTGTGTGTGTGTGTGTGTGTGTGTGTGTGTGTGTGTGTGTGTGTGTGTGTGAGAGATATGGTGTGTGTGTGTGTGGGGGGGGGGGGGGGGGGGGGGGTACGTTGGTGGGTGTGTATGTTGTTGGGTGTGTATGTTGATGTGTATGTATGTTGGTGTTTGTGTATGTTGGTATGTGTATGTTGATGGGAGGGTATGTTTGTGCATGTATGTTCGTGTATGGGTGTGTATGTTGGTGGGTGGTATACTGGCGGGTATATATATTGGTGGGTATGTATGTTGGTGGGCGTATGTTGGTAGGTGTGTTTGTTGGCAGGCGTCTATGTTTGTGGGTGTGTATGATGGTTGGTGTGTATGATGGTGGGTGTGTATGTTGGTGGGTGTGTATGTTGGTTGGTATGTATGTTGGTGGGTATGTATGTTGGTGGGCGTATGTTGGTAGGTGTGTATGTTGGCAGGCGTCTATGTTTGTGGGTGTGTATGATGGTTGGTGTGTATGTTTGTGGGTGTGTATGTTGGCAGGCGTCTATGCATGTGGATGTGTATGTTGGTTGTTGTGTATGTTTGTGGGTGCGTATGTTGGTTGGTGTGTATGTTGGCAGGCGTCTATGTTTGTGGGTGTGTATGATGGTTGGTGTGTATGATGGTGGGTGTGTGTGTTGGCAGGCGTCTATGATTGTGGGTGTGTATGTTGGTTGGTGTGTATAATGGTGGGTGTGTGTGTTGGCAGGCGTCTATGATTGTGGGTGTGTATGTTGGTTGGTGTGTATGATGGTGGGTGTGTGTGTTGGCAGGCGTCTATGATTATGGGTGTGTATGTTGGTGGGTGTGTATGTTGGCAGGCGTCTATGTTTGTGGGTGTGTATGTTGGTTGGTGTGTATGTTTGTGGGTGTGTATGATGGTGGGTGTGTGTGTGTTGACAGGCGTCTATGATTGTTGGTGTGTATGTTGGTTGGTGTGTATGTTGGTGTGTATGTATTTTGGTGGGTGTGTATGTTGGTTGGTGTGTATGTTGGTTGGTGTGTGTGTTGGTTGGTGTGTATGTTGGTGGGTATGTATTTTGGTTAGTGTGTATTTGGGTTGGTGTGTATGTTGTTGGGGATGTGTGTTGGTGGGTATGTATGTTGGCAGGCGTCTATGTTTGTGGGTGTGTATGTTGGTTGGTGTGTATGTTTGTGGGTGTGTATGTTGGTGGGTGTGTATGTTGGTTGGTGTGTATGTTGGTTGGTGTGTATGTTTGTGGGTGTGTATGATGGTGGGTGTGTATGTTGGTTGATGTGTATGTTGGTGGGTGTGTATGATGGTGGGTATGTATGTTGGTTGGCGTGTATGTTGGTGGGTGTGTATGTTGGTGGGTGTGTATGATGGTGGGTATGTATGTTGGTTGGTGTGTATGTTGGTTGATGTGTATGTTGGTGGGTGTGTATGATGGTGGGTGTGTATGATGGTGGGTGTGTATGATGGTGGGTGTGTATGTTGGCAGGCGTCTATGCATGTGGGTGTGTATGTTGGTTGGTGTGTGTGTTTGTGGGTGTGTATGATTGTGGGTGTGTATGATGGTGGGTGTGTATGTTTGTGGGTGTGTATGACGGTGGGTGTGTATGTTTGTGGGTGTGTATGTTGGTGGGTGTGTATGTTTGTGGGTGTGTATATTGGCAGGCGTCTATGTTTGTGGGTGTGTATGTTGGTTGGTGTGTATGTTGTGGGTGTGTATGATGGCGGGTGTGTGTGGTACAGGTGTAGGGTACATATATTGGGAGAATGTGTCAGGTAAAAGTGACGTTAGAGGGATGAAAGTGCTTCGCATTGCTGATTCCGCACGGATCTGTGGTTAGATGAGGTCCCAGCCACACGTCCAAGAGGTACGCCGCTCCAGAGCCCGTTGTCAATCCAATACTGTAGGACAGAGTCATTATGTTGCCTGCAACACGAACAACGCGTGTTCGTTAAACGTCGCTTTAATGTTTGTGGGTGTGTATGACGGTGGGTGTGTATGTTTGTGGGTGTGTATGTTGGTGGGTGTGTATGTTGGCAGGCGTCTATGTTTGTGGGTGTGTATGTTGGTTGATGTGTATGTTGGTTGGTGTGTGTGTTGGTTGGTGTGTATGTTGGTTGGTGTGTATGTTGGTGGGTATGTATTTTGGTTGGTGTGTATTTTGGTTGGTGTGTATGTTGTTGGGTATGTGTGTTGGTGGGTGTGTATGTTGGTTGGTGTGTATGTTGGTGGGTATGTATGTTGGCAGGCGTCTATGTTTGTGGGTGTGTATGTTGGTTGGTGTGTATGATGGTGGGTGTGTATGTTGGTTGGTGTGTATGATGGTGGGTGTGTGTGTTGGTTGGTGTGTATGTTGGTGGGTGTGTATGATGGTGGGTATGTATGTTGGTGGGTGTGTATGTTGGTGGGTGTGTATGTTTGTGGGTGTGTATGTTTGTGGGTGTGTATGATGGTGGGTGTGTATGTTGGTTGGTGTGTATGTTGGTGGGTGTGTATGATGGTGGGTATGTATGTTGGTGGGTGTGTATGATGGTGGGTGTGTATGTTGGCAGGCGTCTATGCATGTGGGTGTGTATGTTGGTTGGTGTGTGTGTTTGTGGGTGTGTATGTTTGTGGGTGTGTATGTTGGTGGGTGTGTATGTTGGTTGGTGTGTATGTTGGTAGGTGTGTATGATGGTGGGTGGGTGGGTGTGTATTGGAATGTATATACTGTGAATGGATAAAGGTACAGGTGTAGGGTACATATATTGGGAGAATGTGTCAGGTAAAAGTGACGTTAGAGGGATGAAAGTGCGTCGCATTGCTGATTCCGCACGGATCTGTGGTTAGATGAGGTCCCAGCCACACGTCCAAGAGGTACGCCGCTCCAGAGCCCGTTGTCAATCCAATACTGTAGGACAGAGTCATTATGTTGCCTGCAACACGAACAACGCGTGTTCGTTAAACGTCGCTTTAATGTTTCATTACAAGTTCATGACATCGGCATCATATAACAGTTGCTATCTGACATATTTTTCTGGACTGTGATTTTTTGTCCTTGGGTCATGACTTCTCTGTGTCACGCACACCTAAGATACTTTATCATAACAATTCACAAAGAATTAATTGACTTATACCCGTGCAATCTCGATAATAAGGCGCGTCATTCAGCGGCTAAAGTATCCTATGCATACAAGCACAGACATTGCAAAACAAATAATAAGTAAAATACAGAAATTTCGAAGTTGTCTATAGTGAAAATATACATCAGTTCAGAGTATCAACAATTATAAGTTCTGCTGTCTTGCAATTAAAAAATGATCAAAATCAACACTGGTGTTTCCTCTAAAGCCATTCGAAGCATCCTTTGCCAGAGTTGACTGCCTATGCTTTCTTCAATATGGGTTCCTTAGAAGATGAGATGGTAACAGACTTGTGGTTGTTGTACATCATTCACTAATACAATCACTGTGCGCAAGTTTTCAAATACATCTCTATAGTTACACGATGGATGTCTTACTTGTGATGTGTTATTGTACATCGGGTTTTCACTTGTTTGGGACATCGTGAACAACATTTCCATTCAGTAATTGTAGAAGATTACAAGTGCAGTTGTGCAAATATAGTCCCGCCAGTGACTTGTTTCTTGAACTATTGAAATTGATACACTATATTTGACTTAGTCCATGTGTCCGTGTGAAAATTCTTTAACCTCAATTTTGAGAAGAGTCAATGTCACGATAGGAGTACTTCCTTTTTCACAATACAATATATTTCTACGCTACAATAAGAGCTATTCTACCTATAGTGGAGGCATAGAGTGTCGGAACACAACCTCCGAACACAAAAAATGCACTGAGTAACACAACTAACAAACACAAAACATGCACTGAGTAACACAACTCCCAAACACAAAACATGCACTGAGTAACACAACTAACAAACACAAAACATGCACTGAATAACACAACTAACAAACACAAAACATGCACTGAGTAATACAACTAACAAACACAAAACATGCACTGAGTAACACAACTTCCAAACAAAAATCTTGCAGTGAGTAACACAAATTCCAAACACAAAACATGCACTGAGTAACACAACTTCCAAACACAAAACATGCACTGAGACACACAATTTCCTGTAACAAAAAGGCACTGAGTTATAACGCTAACTAATAATAATGGTAAGTCCAGTTTTACTGTATCAGATTCAGTTAATGTTCATATCGCTACATTTCTATTTCCAAGATCTTTTGACCACAAATCATCGGTGCCCACTCATATGTCATACTCAGCCCCCTGGGGAGTGCACAATCCAAACTGTCGCATGTGGCACTAGTGGCTTACAGTCACATACCAGTTAATGTTCATATCGCTACATTTCTAGTTCCAAGATCTTTTGACCACAAATCATCGGTGCTCACTCATATGTCATACTCAGCCCCCTGGGGAGTGCACAATCCAAACTGTCGCATGTGGCACTAGTGGCTTACAGTCACATTACCATCTAAACCTACCGCGTACCCATTCAATGCTGGATAAACAAGGCATATTTCGAACAGTTTCCTGCCTAAGGAGTGCCGGTTAGAACAGAAACCTTAAATACTTAGGAATGAAACTGTTGAACACAGTCAAACATCCAGCTACTCGCCATGAACAACGTTGCTCAACCTCCCCTGATTTGTGACCTGGACGTGACCTGGATCCGTGGTACCAATCTCGGAGTAATACATAAGCTGCCTTTGCCATACGCACTGAGAAATGCAACTTCGCAAAACATTCCCGTCACATAATATGCACCGACACATACAATTCCTGCCAAATAACATACATTGACGAACAAAAATGCGTGCCACACAACATGCACTGAATAATACACTTCCTGACACATAACATGCACTGATTAAAACTCCTAGTCGGGTAACTTGCACTGATAAATACTTTCCATCACAATGCGTGCACTGAATATTACAGCTGCTTGCTATGTAACATGCTCTGAATAATTCATCCTGCCACATATCATGTTCTGAATAATCCATCCTGCCACACATCATGCTCTGAATAATCCATCCTGCCACATATCTTGCTCTGAATAATCCATCCTGCCACACATCATGCTCTGAATAATCCATCCTGTCACACATCATGCTCTGAATAATCCATCCTGCCACACATCATGCTCTGAATTATCCATCCTGCCACATATCGTGCTCTGAATAATCCATCCTGCCACACATCATGCTCTGAATAATCCATCCTGCCACACATCATGCTCTGAATAATCCATCCTGTCACACATCATGCTCTGAATAATCCATCCTGCCACACATCATTCTCTGAATAATCCATCCTGTCACATATCATGCTCTGAATAATCCATCCTGTCACATATCATGCTCTGAATAATCCATCCTGCCACATATCATGCTCTGAATAATCAATCCTGTCACATATCATGCTCTGAATAATCCATCCTGCCACATATCATGCTCTGAATAATCCATCCTGTCACATATCATGCTCTGAATAATCAATCCTGTCACATATCATGCTCTGAATAATCCATCCTGCCACATATCATGCTCTGAATAATCCATCCTGTCACATATCATGCTCTGAATAATCAATCCTGTCACATATCATGCTCTGAATAATCCATCCTGCCACATATCATGCTCTGAATAATCCATCCTGCCACATATCATGCTCTGAATAATCCATCCTGCCACATATCATGCTCTGAATAATCCATCCTGTCACATATCATGCTCTGAATAATCCATCCTGTCACATATCATGCTCTGAATAATCCATCCTGCCACATATCATGCTCTGAATAATCAATCCTGTCACATATCATGCTCTGAATAATCCATCCTGCCACATATCATGCTCTGAATAATCCATCCTGCCACATATCATGCTCTGAATAATCAATCCTGCCACATATCATGCTCTGAATAATCCATCCTGCCACATATCATGCTCTGAATAGGGGGGGCGGTCGGGTAGCCTAGTGGTTAAAGCGTTCGCTCGTCACGCCGAAGACCCGGGTTCGATTTTCGACATGGGTACAATGTGTGAAGCCCATTTCTGGTGTCCCCCGCCGTGATATTGCTGGAATATTGCTAAAAGCGGCGTAAAACCATACTCAGTCAGTCAGTCAGTCATGCTCTGAATAATCCATCCTGCCACATATCATGCTCTGAGTAATCCATCCTGCCACATAACGTGCTCTGAGTAATCCATCCTGCCACATATCATGCTCTGAAAAATCCATCCTGCCACATAACATGCTCTGAGTAATCCATCCTGCCACATAACATGCTCTGAGTAATCCATCCTGCCACGTATCATGCTCTGAGTAATCCATCCTGCCACATATCGTGCTCTGAATAATCCATCCTGCCACGTACCATGCTCTGAGTAGTCCATCCTGCCACATATCATGCATTGAATAATACAACTTCCCATCACATATCATGCATTGAGTAATACAACCTTCTATCACATATACAACCAAACACCATTGTGTCGAACTTGCTGTTGTCTCGAAGTAAAACTTTGGCCCATGCTTATTCCTTCTGTATTCATCATTTTCGGTTTTGTCGAACCTCAGGTAACTCGAAGTATTTACGTAGGTCCCTTAAACTTTGACACAACGGAATTTGACTGTAACTTGCATTGCATTACACTCTGAAAGTAGTAACACTTTCCTACCACATAATTCTCTCTGCTCCTCTGACACTTTCGATGGTGCTAGGATCATCGGTACACTGCCAAAATAGCCGTTGGTGATGCCGAGAATGATCGAGAGAATGATGGGCCAGCCATCTCCTTTGAGTGTCGGAGAGAGACGTGGCGTGGCACACAGCATGAGCAGCGGAACCAGCCCTACCCGGCACAGGGTCAGTACCGCCAGCCGACAGGGAGGCCAGTCGTAGTTGACAGACGCAATCACCTACAACACCACATTTCCGAAAGGTCAAATGAAGAACATGAGTGATCAACATATATAAGGTGTAAATGTGTGTGTCATAAAAGAATACCTCACATGATCATGATAAATACTAGTACATAACTCACGTGTCGCGGTGTCCATCAATAGAAGTATCAACATCCATCTTAATTACACATGTACAATTTGACTGTATTAAGGAACAAACAATGACTTCCAAATATGGATTGATATGATGTAAAATATCACGTAATTACCACAAAGAAGATTTTTAAACATATGTCATTGAATTACAAATATTCATGGCTCAATGTGTACATGTATCGTCTTTACAAAGGTTAAGTGATGTAAAGCGATATAACGCAATTTAAACACAAGACGAACAAGGAACTGCTTATTTGAATCTGCACGGAAGCGATATTGCTTGTGTATTGCCACATGCTATCCAGTGGAGTGCACTAGCTGCTACACCGCCAGACGTTCTGTAAGAACGTGGTATAAGAAGACAGGACTGACATGCACTTGGTCAAACAATGAGTCTAATCCATGACATATACATATACACAGAGATTTACAGATAACAAACAGGGAAACACGTGATGACAAGGACGAAATGAATTTTCTATTTGACATCAATGAATTGTCAAACATATTCCACTACACCATGTCTGTTAGGAAATACGTACTTAGTTGTATATCACTTACAACCTCTCACTATATGACTGCTACACAGCGAACATCATAACAGTCTGTGTGTTGTTATTTATTACAGATATTGCTATTTCCACGATAGTATTACACTTTTTATGCACCTTAGAATATATTTATTTATTTCAATGTTTTAGATACATACTATTCCCCGCTATCTCAATTTATATTTATAGAAATGGTAATTTGGACAACTTTTGATCAATCCATTTGCCCCATTATATATGTTTAAAAGCAAAACCTACCTAATAGTATCACTCCAGTAACGGCCGATATTGTGGCGTGCCAGTTTTCGGTAACATATGGCATAATGCAGCTGGTCATATATGGAGAATCTCATCCGAGTGTCTTTTGACATCAAATATAACAACACGAGTTGATAAAAGTGGGTTTTACTCCAAGGCTTGCCGAGGAATTTTTCCACTTTTATCAACGAGTGTTGATCTATTTGATGTCAAAAAGACACTAGGGTGACACTTTATTTATCATCCAACATCATTCTTCCAACTTTATCAGTTTGTAGACAGTAATAAGCAGTGTCTTAAGTGTAAAAAGCACTGCTAACAGCTTCATTAGCACAGCCATCGGTGATGTCATTTGATTGTGACGTCATGGTAACCAATGACATCACAATGATCTGCAAAGCTTTGTGATGCAATTTCATTGTAGATATCGCTTGATCCCACCCAAGCGACATCTCCTGTAGGAGCCAGTTTTGGCTGATAAATTCCTATCACCATTTCCTATCACCAGTCAACAGTAACGTCTGTCTAAATCCGTTATAGCTATGCAGTAGAGGGGTTTCAGAGTTATCACATGATGCCTTGCCAGTTGACATATTGGTTATATTCGTTTTCGTAGCAACGGTTGCGCCATTAGACTCGCTCCACCAATGTGAACGTCAATCTGGCCTCTAGCAATCTTCTCTCATTGAAAGTTATGGAAGACCCTGAGAAGACCTGGTGTGGCCAACAAGTTATAATTGTAGTCAAAACACGATATACTGAAGAAAACAATTCAACAATATCTTGCATTATTTCTCACTACACAACCGAGTGGTTTCCGCTTGCACTTTCAAAACACGAACAACAGATCCTAGAAAACAAGCTACAAACATCATACATACCGATTGTGACCAATGCCAACATCGAGTCGATGAAAGATAGCGGAACAAACATTCCACGCAAAATGTTATGCGAATCAACATACCCTTTTCGTTTATTTCAGCTTAAAAGCGCGTTTGTGTGCATTTACCTTTTCATGTCAAGGGCAGTTAATTTATACGTAGAGTGAGAGTGGTTTCCCTTTGAGTGTGTGTACAATAATAGATCATAATACTGTATTAAATGAAGTGTATTTAAGAAGGCACCTTGTCGATTATGTATAACAGGATGGTATGCAATCTGAGAAACATTTAATCCATGAATGAATTATATTTTCATTGGAATGATAAAAGAAAAGAAATTAGGTTTATCCTCTCAGTGTTGTGTAAAGATACTTAATGTCATTTACTGAAGATTGCAAGCAGCCGTTATATGTTTTTCAGATTGGCAAATTTCCGTGCCATTTGTGTAAAAATTTGATTCTTTATCTTGTCAGAGACGAATGTGAAGATTGACAAATTCCATAGTATTGGACAGTGCTAGAAGAGTTACAAAAGATTTCAGACCAGCATAATATCGTAATTTATCATTTTTATGTTCGAAATCGTCCAAATTATTTGCCTTAATTTCAACTATTTATTTTAAGTAGAAGATTCTCGTCTTTAAGTGTTTCATTTTCTGGTGTAAGAATGTCAATTTCAATATTGTACACTTCAGGTGTAACTGCACAGACCAGATCGTCGGGTTCAGTCTCTGATTCGCATCAATGGTTCCTCTTCTTGTTCATCAATCCGCATGTCTCATCAGTTCCTTGCGTCACGGAATAACAAAGAGTACTAATGTGTACTTCAAATGACATATACACCTCTTGCACAACACGGTTATTTAACCACCTGAACAGTGTCCTTGCGATAAACCTCATGTTAAAAATGGGAGATTTAAGCCTACCTCTAGATCACTATGGCAACTATCACATTTCTTCCCATAAGTGTTCCATCTGCTTTTGTTGCTCTTGTCAAGTTTCAAACTGGGTGTCAAGTCGGGATGGGTGAAAAACCCCGAACAGGATTATTTATTTCTATTTTTCCATCATAATGATACAATTGCATTGCAGCATCTGCAGTTCAGACCTGCTTCGAATTGCTTACATTTACCAGTGACTAATTTCTGTGTCAAAGCCTGTGTCGACATGGCCATTGGTAATATTTTGGCTAATTAAAATGTTTTCGGCTTAATATGAAGAGGTTGTTAAAAACCTTTAGACCCACTTCAAAATTCATGAATAATTGATTACTCACAAGGAATACCTTCGCTGCGGTAACGATAGACATAGCGACTAGCAAAAACCCTTCTAATAAATATTGAAGCATAACTGATTTGATTTGCAAAACAACATTACCTATCTGTCTTACACAGCTTTCAAACTAACCCCCGACAAAATGATCGCTTCTCACACGCATGCATTGCCTATCCTGGAATGCCATAGTTTCCCCTGTTGACAGCTGCCAACCACAAACGGCGCCGTTTCTGACGTGGATCTCTTATTGATTATGCCCGGGAATCTAAAAAATACCCTCGTTTCGATTTGCACGATTGCTGCAGTTAATCACCGCGCGTGAAACGGACATATTAGCAGCTTGACACATATAGAGGCCGTGTTGACGTTTTCTCACTTCTTTAGGTTGACAACCTATGTTGTGCCACGCAATGCTTCATGGGTACTGAAACCCCTCAATAACTGTCAGGTGACTTAATCTCTCACACGATTATAATCAACTGTCAAACCCCATAATTAAACCCATGTCCAAAACTCGTTTCTATACTGTTATTTATGTATTTCTCACTTCATAATGATACGCAGATTAAGTCGTGAGACAAAACATTGGGAAGTGCTACCACCATTTCCTGGGACGATGTGTCCAAATACTTGTAAAGTTGCCACACCGTTTCACGTTTGTCATCAGCGGATAGAACAGGTTGTTGACCAGTTGTTACTGGCATTTACTCATTGAGGTTTCCAAACTCCAGTAGTTCGAGTGTGGCCATGCCTGCATTTTATGGATTGTCGAGTTACTAGTCCAGGAAAATAGAAAATAGTCAAAAGAAAAATGACGACCCAACGCACACACCATTCGGAAGGTATGACATTTGGTTATGCTTAGGTTATGTCTAAGGATCAATCTAGACCTGTTCTTATTTTTGTTAATATCGTTCAATGTCTGAGTCGGCTGTTGAAGTTTTTTAGGTCAATTTAAGGTATGAGATAATGGTTTTGAGATGACAATATTCATGAACAATATTTAATTTGTGTATTATTTCATAATATGGCTTCTGCCAAATACTAAAAGCATACTAAAACATTCTGTTTGCCAATTTCTGATACATTTGTGAAGTACATTTCTTTTATATTCATTTCAAGATATCAAAGAAAACAAATAATATTTACAGGTAATTACATATCCTGAAAACAAATTAATACAAAAACCAATACAGATAAATGGACATCACGTAAATAGTTTTTGATGTGGTAACCACAAAATACAAAATAGTCTTCAAAAGAAATGTGAGGACTGGATATTACGAATGTTACAACATCACCCAAAGTGATTAGCATGGCTGACATAGAATGTGTCTAAATATTTCTGGATGATCTCAACCCAACGTTGAATCGAGTTTTCTGTGCTGTTGCGCCCCCGGCAAATTCTCTGCTCACACAAGTTTGATTCGTATCTTTTCAGAGCAGCTTGCTCCCGTTAGACTATTGTTGTGTATACTTAGTGTATGGAGGCGGGCCCGGTACACACACACAACATTGGAATCACCCAAAACTTTGAAACTTTAAACGGTTTCTCACCAGTCACGATAGGACTTCTTTCACAAGTGCCTGACTAGAGAACGAAAGTCCATGGAGGAAATGCGCAGTGTCAGTTTTCACAACACAACTAGTGAAAAACCCATTCGCCTTCACAAACGCTGATGCCAGTGTGTGTCCATCTCTTGTGTACATTGGAACTGGAGCTGTACAGTGCCAGTTAGTTTTACACACATTCTGTATGATCAGGTGTCATTATATTCCACTTGGAGATAATATCAACCACTGGCATATTTATCCCAAACTTAAGCTGAACTACACTGTATTGTAAACTGTGCATAATACAAGATATATCAAATGGAGACATTTAGCCTTTATTGTCTGGACACATTCACGTACTGTTTTGATTGCACGTAATACGTTGGATTTAACACAGAAGAAACTTGTTAAATCAATGCAAGTGTTGAGTTCCGAGTCTCACATAGAAGGAATTGTATAGTAGTGAAATCTTTTGTTGTGGACATTACATGAAGTCATAGAGGTATATCTACAAAGACTTGAGTCAAGTGACAACTTTGTTTCGCTGTGACAAGTTAGTGAAATAGGCAGGGGTATGTGACCTTTGGAAAATGGACTTGCAGAGGGCTTGCAGAAGACTTGCAGAGGAATGGCTTAACATCCAAGAAGATATGAGTATACCCCAAGGGAAGGATGAACCTTCCACATTATAGGGTTATCGGTGGTTCGCTTGCTTTATCGAAAGTTCGAGGTGAGAATATGTACTACGTATATAAACCCTACTATTTTGTTTATTTATCATAAATATTTTGACTTTTAATTGGATTAGAATGCGTCGAAACTACTTCGCGATTTATAAATGTGGTCCCTTCTGTTGCAATCATTCTGACGGAAAAAAGTCACATTTGGAAATTGATTATCAGCACTATGCCAGCCTAATGAAGCTTTGTTGTAGTCCTATACAAATATGGACCCACTTGTTTTGATCACCATATAAGACGGCGCAAAGTGGGCCCACATTTTAGAAAATTGCTATCATCACCAAACAAACCAAAGCAGATATACATATATTACACTCAACATATGACAACTACCGACTTGTGGGCCTATCTGCAGTCGTCTCTATTCAGAAAGTAAACTAATATTTACGAGTTATTAATTTAATTTGCAAGCATCGTTTTTAATTTTCTGCAGGTTACGGATGAAAATATAATTCTATAATGTATTCAAACATTAATTAAGAATACGGTTTACCTTAGGGCCAATTAATAGTTCGACCGACGACAACATACAGCGTGACTGACGCCATTTGTCGCAAATTCGAAAACAACGGAGATTGAAATAAGAGTGACCTCCCTTTTCCAATAAGAACCCAAGCTCCTTCCCAGCGCGTGACACCTTCGTTACACTCTCGGTAATAGCGCTGCCACCAGTGTGGGCGAGGCCATTTCAAGAATCTTGAAATTTGCCCTCTAACCCCAAATGTAGTAACGTTGATACTTTTGTTTATGTCTTTGGGAATGGCATGATATTTCATTTTGAAAAGGTTTACGACTGACCATGTTTTCCAGACGTATTTACTTTGTTGTTTTAATAATCAGATTGGTTCGAGATTGCAGACTAACGGAAAATCAACCAACTTCTCCCTTACATTCTTACTATATCAATAACACAATAGTTTTAATGAAACAGAAATTCAAATTGACAAACGAAGAATTTAATTGAGCAGCGATAGGCGTATTCGGCATCACGACAGTCGTCACTTATTTGTAAACATAACGGTCATTCGGTTGCGAGTTCAACTCCAAGCATGGTTGGGGCCATCTATTCACAGTGGGGAGTTTTGACTGAAACTTAGGCAACGAAGAAAGTATCAGCTCGTTTTCGTTCCAAAGCTTCTGACTTCTGATAAAAAAGGCATATTTCATGATAATCTAGCTCTGTTTATAGCTGATCCACAAAGATTCCTGCAACGATTGTGATTTACACCAGTGCAAATTTGTATGATTTTATATTGTGATTTACACCAGTGCAAATTTGTATGTATATATTGTATTGTGAACGTTTAATGACAACGCAATATGATCCTTTTAGGCGGATATGCCAAGCTGAGCGTATATTGTTTCTTTGGGTTACAAAGAGTCCAAATGTTGTGTACAGAAAAAATTTAAATCGCCCCTCATTGACTCTCGATCTTTCCTTCAAATCAACATTTCATATGAAAGACAAATCATGACAGATACAAACAGTTTGTAAGAAAACTTCCTTCTCATTCGGCTTTGATTGGAATACAACCTTTTCATATTGAAAGTCATGAACGGGCTGATTAATACGTGTGCCTCACACTATTTAGATGCTTTATTTTACAAACCTCACTTATGTTTCATGTGAACGCATACTCAATTTACATGATAATACTACATGTAAACTTACTACGTATGTATAGTTACACATGTGCAAAATTACTCACTTGTGTAAATGTCGTTCATGTGAAGGATGTATTCTGAAAATGGTTGTTCTCTTCACTCAAGACGGGATGGAATATACATATTCCTATGAAGATCTAATCCAAGCAATAGGCTCTTTAAATAGTACCTAATCATCCCGCTGCAACTTTTTGATCCTTATTTGAATTCATTATCTGTGTGCTGCTTGTTATTCTTACTATACATCTGGCTTCATTATCCGTGTGCTATTTGTTATTCTTACTGTACATCTGGCTTCAGCCGATTATCTGTGTGCAACTTGTTTTCTAATACCCCTGTTAATGTTAATCTGATGCCTAGCACAACATAACGTGTATATAACCGCTTGGTTGCAGTCCCCCTAGCTTGATAACAGTGTAAGAATCTAAACGCAATAAACCAGAAGTTTTTATCTCTAAAGTGGTATGTTTTCGTATTTACTCATCCACTTTTAGAATGCCAAACAAACAGAATGTTGCACAACAGGTATCACAACTTGCCCGAGACATAAAACTAACAGAATATGAAGTCAAACCTTCCGAATACTTTGTGTGCTACGTTACTAACATTCTAGGTGTCTATTGAAAATTGTATGAACCCAACCAAATTGTTGAAGCTTACATTTCTGTATTGCCGAATTAAGGTTGATGCTTTCTCTTTGCCATGTTTGTTGTGGGATAGTGTCTATATATGCCGGATAGCTTATGCATTGCTACATGCTTAGCCGTGGTGTTAGATCGTTTATACATTATCATGAGCACTGCGTGACATCGATACAACTAAGACATTGCTATATGCATACTAAGCGCTTGTCCTGTGCCCTGGGAAGGAGTGGGACATGAGTTATACAGTGCTCTACACTTACAGTGATGTGGAGATGATACATACAGTGTTCTATGCATTCCGGCGACGTGAAGAATAATACATCAGGTACCCTATGTTATGCGGGGATTGTGCTCTGTACTTTCTGTTCCGCATGGAATGAGGTATGCGTTATGCAGTGCCCTCTAAGGATGTACTTTTGATGTTCAGGAATTATATGCTATTAATGATTATGTTGGACAAAATAATATTAACCCACACTGAAAAGATAAAGATGGCCAAACACTATCTTACCTTTCCAATAAAGTCAAACAAATTGAACACCGCCATGAGGAGAATTGGCATCCACGTTCCAATGTGACAACTAATTACTTCCGACTCAATCCCCGGAAATAAGCACAGCGTCACAAAGTAGGCTAAGCCGATTGAAACCATATACGGCCAGACCGTCCGTGACACCTCGTACCGCATCTCCAATCCCCCTGCAAATAGAATTAGATGGGTCTGTACATAGGAGTATATGTTCCTTACAGTTTTCATGAGGTACGCGTTGTGGTAGTAGTTCATATATCCATGTGCCATTATAATTATGTAATATACAAATAAAAGCGACAAAACACTTTCCATATTCATAAGGAATCGATTCTACGATTCCAACTATATCATCAGCCTGTGTCTTTGAATCACTATTAAATAGTGACGATACCAGGTAACGCTAACAGGTGCACGTATCCTGCCCCACCGGTGGTGACTCATCTTTTAATGGCAACTAGTATTAGTACATCCACTTACATTGCCTGTTTTGTTAAAAAAAATAACTGCCCCTTTTTCAGATGGATGAACACATGGGCATTTGAAGTGACCGAAATTGCTAAATCTTTATGTAATTTCTCCTTACTTTTGGTATCTAGTTTGAGTTGCAGTGTTCCTAAGACGTCTTGATGCCATATCCCACCCTATTTCTCTGTGAACACTTCAGATATGATGTGGAGTTCTTTGCGTTGCAAGTTTATGTTTACGGTTACTTTTACAAAATCTCTGAATTTCTATGTTCATCCAAGGTCTGATCTTTACTTCTGACTGTAATAATCGTTTTTGGAATAAACTGGTAATAAATATTGATAAATAAATCTGTTAACTTGTTGACGACCAAGTCAATATGAAATTTATTTAAAAAATAATTCCAAGTATACTTACATAAATATGACATTGATTCCAAAGAATGATAATATATCTTTCTTACAAAACTTGTGTCATTGGGTTTACAGTTACTTAGACTAACATATAATCATATATACGGTAAAATGATCGCTACACATGGGTTGAAGAACATCAGAAGTAAACACTACATTGATTTGAAACCAATATTCAATCTATAAGAGTTCGGGAGTTCTCAGTAATCCTTGTGGTTTAATAATAATATAATGAATCCCATTAGTTGCTTGCAAATGTTCTTGTCGTTGTATATATATGATAAGGTAATCAATACTAAAATCACCTCTTTCTCGATATCTAGGTCAACCGCGTCAACCATAATGAATAGTCATGTCCACAAATAAGATATACACTGAAATCAAGACACGGTTTAGCAGATGGGTCGATGTTGAGAATTAATGTACAAAGTGGGAAGATCATATATTGTGTGTACTTTGGTGAAATGGTCCCTTGGACATTTTCGTATCGGCCGCCATTTGCACTATCCTGGTGACATGGTAACTGCTTCTGATTTCGGTATATCTAGAAGATTACGCGATGATAAGTTGCTAAATGTTATCATGAAGAAACGGAAACCTGTATGTATATATACATGTATACGTGGACAACTTCGAAGGAATTCTTTCTTGTGAATCCATAAAGTAGTACCTATTTCCTGCTTTGATTAATGTTAAATTCAATATTTCAAGCATCTACCTTTGATTATTATTTCATATTAAATCCCCAAAGCAATCTAAATGCACATTCTGAATTCCGTAACACAATATCAAGTCATACAAGGTCATACGACTGACGTCACTTCGTCAATATGTTAATCACTAATGAACAGTTATTGTATAATAATGTATGGTTATTGTGAAAGTAGAACCCGCCCATGACATGTAGTGCCATACTGTCTTTTCTGATTAGCCTGTTTTAGTCATATGGGCATATATTTCCATGAAAAGGGCGCTAGCATTGGACATTTAGTATTAAACCATCCATTAAACTGACATCATCTATTACCCGATCTATTAACATAAAGCTCCACAGACTTTAAAATCATAATTTGAAGATATTACGATAATTCCTTACCAGATATATTATGAGTGTCTCCACTTGATTTTCTTGTATAATTTACCAATAGTAGCCTTGTAATGTATCAATGTCATAAATTAAATGTATTTCTGCACATCATTCCAATGTCATGTTGTTCCAACGAGTACCCTGTAAAAGAGTCAATTACATCTTGGCTTAGAGCAAATCACCGCCGGACATGTATGCGGGTGTGTTAATTTTAATGTCATCGATATATAAACGAATAATCTGTCAAGATACCATCTCACTTTTAAATGCTGATACTTTAGGTATGTGCATCTTATAGTGTTGGCCTTGGAATGTGACTTCTGCTTCATTGGCTCGTGTGATATCGTTGACGGTAGTTTGTCCAGTGCCTGATTGTACAGACTTGGCCTCAAACTGCCTGGACGGGTCGGTCGGGGAGGTTGGACTCTGAATGACTAAAACGCCGTAGTGCTGACCTGTGCTTGGTTCCTGGAAGTCCACCTGTGTCAACAGTCATAGACGTAGGGCATTTGTAGCAACTTGCCATACACAATTGTTGTAAGATCATGTGGTCATAATGATGTAACATGCATTCGTTCAGCAATCTCTTTCACCGAAGATACGTCTAAATAGGATGCCATGCCCGACAATGGCAAGGGGCGTATAATGTCAAATCAACTAATCTCTGTTTCAAATCACAAAAGATATGTTGATCTTCATAGACACCTGCTAGCACACGTACATAAGTAGTGTGGCAGATGTCACGATATAGTCATCATGAAAGACATTTTATAATACACCGTATTAAACAGGGGGCGACCATTTTATATTGTGGAGTGTTTTGGGTGAAGTGGTTGGGCTAGGATTTTATATTTTACATCTTTAGACACATACATTTCGTTTCATAAAAAATCCAGTCTCTAAACACAACACCAGCCCCTTAATCACCCCACAACATCCAATGGTGGTTCCAATTTTAGCCGTTGGAGTTGCCTACCATCGGAAGCGGTAACATAATGTTTGAACCACACGTGCTTTGCTCGAGCTGGATAACCACATCTCTGTGCTGTTTCCTATAAACGATTTTATATATGAACTTGTGGCTATACAGAGATAAAGGCTGTTTCGTAGTGTTTTCCTAATATATCCTCGATTCGGGGGGAAAACCACTGTAACAACCCTGAAAAATAATCGTATTCCCACGAAAACTACAAAATGATTCGCCTCCTAAGACACATGCCTTCAAATATATGTACTTATTTTTTCGATCGTACAACTTTAGAGGTACTCAGTCGGAATCATTGAAAGGGTACAGGTTTTGGGTTGCCAATCTTTACTAGCCCGGTTGCCAACTCAATAAGTAAATTGAAGTGCAAGTCTCTCGGGAAGTGAATCATGATGCATTTGTCGTTAGATCACGAATGATGCAGTGTGTTGAAGCATAAAGTGCGATGCAGATTTGGATTGGGGATCTATGAAGACACTGGGACAGCCGTAGCTCTGTGTAGTCAAAATCAAAATCCGTTCTATGGAGCAGCACAGAGATCCGGTTACAACAGTTACTTTGTTCCACATGCTTCATTCAGAACAAATACTTTCTTTTGACATGTGATATGTTATTGAAACATATCCTAAAGGACATTGGCACCGTCAGCAGTCAGCACGAAGAGGGATTTTCAATCAACAACACAAGCCTAACTGCGTACTAGTATGTTGTTAATCGAACCTAAATAAGAGACTAAACTAGTGACATGATGCCTTTGATAAACACGTATCCTCCAAAACCAGGAAAGTCGAGATGGAATGTATTTAACCCACGCCACATTTCGATATATCTCAGCATTTACTAAAAGATTTAAAGCTAAGAACCAACCCTTACCAGGCCTACTTCCTCTGTATATGTGTTGCCTTTAGTGATTCCTCTTTGGTCCTCCGCCAGTCCAGCGCTCTCGCATAAGCTGACATAGAAGCGAACAAACTCTGTACGTCGTGTGACGTGGAACACGATGAAGCACATCCATACCAATGATATGGACACGCAGAAGAAGATCATGGTGTTCACCTTTTCGTCCTTCAGTAGCGCCTTCGTCAGGATCCGGTTTATGGAGATAAGGAGCCCAGCTGCACCTGCAAGGGGAAAGTGACTCAGACAACTTTCGTCACCTAATCAGCTCAATCTTTTGCAGTTGATCATGGATGTACTACATATATAGCACTGACACATGTCACTTCGTGTATCATGCGGGTTTTGTTATCTTGCATCGCTTCTGGAAACATATGAATAAGCGTGAACTAAATTTTGCGTGTGTTATGTTAACTTACTTTCCCCAGTCATCACAGCTTGTGTATAGCGTCGCGGCAGCATACTAGTAAATCCATAAAAACTTGACTGTTGAACTGAAATGCACAACATTGAACTCAGTTTCTCGAAAGAGAATTATGTAAACATGAAGAAAGTGTGTTATGTGCTAGACGGTTCAAACAAGAAGACGTGATCCCTTATACATTGCCTGCACTTTCTATGTGTATGAGTTATTAATACACAATTTCTAATACACTTCATTCTGTTGTGTGAGTTATCCAAAAGGCCGCTGATCTTACTTGTGGCTATCGATTTTCGAAAACGTATAATATATTATTAATAATTGTAACGGGAAAGTACTCGAATCGAAACGGACATTCAGACAAATCCAAACAACAGATAGCTGAGTAAATCAGTGATCGTCTGATCAAACCCAAACTTACGTTTATAGAAGTGTACTTCACTCTCAGTTATAGTTACTATTAGGCGTATTGTGAGTAGTCAAACTTACATATGGTGCTTCACCCCCGAACTGTGTCTTCACATTGGGTGAATGCCATGTCGCAGTTTCAACACTTTCAAGGTTCATTTCATGTTATGTTGTGTCAAATGACACATTACATTACTTTGTGTGAGGTGATCAACAGTGATTCCTTATTTCAAATCGACACACCAATCAATCAGCACAACGTTTAACCTCGTCATCTCTTCTGTCCTCACACGAGGACTGTTTAAAGGTTGTTTGTAGCACCTACCATGGGATCCATATCCCAAACATGCGAGTCGAAATTACTTCTGTTTCTAAATATCTGTTTATGAACAGCTTTATCAGGCTGACGAATTGGCAATACACGCCATGTTTTATTAACTACAGTATCAAAACGTGGTTGTTATCACTGGTTAGTATCCTCATGCCTACACCTGCAGTACTTGCAGGTACTCGCCGCGCCTGTTTGGTTCATGAACTCGAATGTTGTTTAAATGAATGCTTTATCAATCCATGACCGATACCAGTGTACCATAGGCTATTCAAGTGAAGTGGTACTAAGCACTTGTAACGTAACCGTTTGGTTCGAAATGAACCTTGATTTTGACATAGTGATATTACATTTCATTCCTACATTGGGAGTATATTTTATAAAAGTGTGTGTATACCAGACGATTATCTCATCATTCCTACCTGTGGAGCCTATTGCGACAATGGCAACAGCGCCGAGGGTTACTGTGTAGGCCATGTCTTGTGTAAATACTTGGAACCAGACATCACACAGTGCGATAATAAGGAGCATGACAAATGACAGTAAATATCCAAACGTGATCCTCACAGGCAAACTCAGAGTCTCCACGAGAGCATTATTGATGCATACACTTATAAAAGCAACGATGATGTAGGTTAGGCTCATATCAAAGATGATAGTAGTTCTGGGAAACCGACTCTGGTAATAGTCCACTGCTGTGATGAAACTGTTGTAGGGAAGGAGGAAGCCTGCTCCAGCAAGAACCAAACCGAGGTAGATGCAACTGCATGGGTCCTGAGGCGGGGTCAAGCCATCACGTGATGCCACTGGTCTCTTTTTCAGCTTTGGAGACCTGAGCTGACAATATCCTCTGGTTAGGTTTTCATCCATGTTGTAGAATTATATCGTCAAATGCTGAAACTAATCGAAGATTACAGTCACAAGCTACGAGAAATATCACATTATACATGAACTTAAAGGTTGGTTGGTTGGTTGGTTGCACTCAGCAATATTCCAGCTGTATGACCAGACAATCCAGCGATTGATATTATGAGCATCGATCCACGCATTTGGGATACTACCATATGCATCAACCAAGTCAGCGAGCCTGACCACCCAATCCCGTTAGTCGACTCTTACGACAAGCATAGTCGCCTCTTACGGGCAAGCATGGGTTGCCAAAGATCTATTCTACGAACTTTAAGGGAATCTATGGAATCAAAACGTCTTAAAACAAGTTAATATACGCACACAAAGAAATATTTACACAGTAAATATCATATTTTTTATTTTATTGTTCACTAATCCTACAACCAGCGCTTATGCATATCGTAATACCGTGAACAGGTGGAGCTGTAGCTGTGACGTCACAGTGGAGAGTCCACGACATTTCCCTTTGTTTACAGTATTAATCTACATGACAATGAGTGAATTTCCGTTATGCTCGTGGTGTATTGACAACGCGATATGGGGTATTTTGTTGCGTGTGGGTTCATCAAACATATGTACCATATATTATTTATTTGAATGTCATGGCGAAAAGACCGTTTTTGTGAGGAGAAATGTTTGGATACAGAGGGGTCAGCGAGGAGAAAATAAATGGAAACCAACTGGAGATGCCGTTTGGTATTCCTTGCATTTTGAGGCATCTGCCTATGAGAGAGATCCAGACAAACAAAAGGAACTTGGTTACAAAAAGTAATTTGTTAAATAGTTAAAAGATTTCCATGACTGACTAGCCCCATATAAGGGAAAAACGCACATTGACCAGATAACTTGCTACAAGGCAATATGCTTGACACAGTTTTGGTGAACATACATTCACATATTCAGTTTATCTATAATCACCGTTCCTGAAACCCTCGTATGTGTTTGATTCCACGGGAAAATCCATGTACAACACTTTTCTACAGATTGAAATTGCATTACAAGGCTTTTTTATGTCTGCTCATCCGTTTGACTACTATGTCTACAACCTATGAAACTTATTGCTTATAAGTTACAACACTGAAGCTGCCTTCAGTTGTCTACTCAGGGGATTAATCCCTGACAAGGACAGGTCGGCCAGGAGTCCGTATACTGCGCATGAGTTGAGGGTATCCATTTTAAACTGCCGAATGGTATCTCACCAGGCTTAGAACCGACATTGGTCCAGACGAGTACAAGCAACCAGCCACACACGTGTATGTCCGGTGCACAGTGATCTCTTGTCATATAGTTACAAACCAATTTTAACATTAGAATTGCTCACGTCCATGTGATATATCAAAATATATTGTATGTACACCAGGCCTAGTAACAAAGTGTATAATGTCTTTGGTAACCTACATATAGAATACTAAACTCGCTCCCGTGTATTACCAATTTTATGAATCGAGTGAATAGTTCTGGTATCTGACGAGCGAAAGCGAGTCAGATACAACAACTATTCACGAGTTTCATAAAATTGGTTTAACACGGGAGCGGGTTTAGTATTTTATTTATTACTGGCCATTTATGACGTTTTTAGAATTATACTGTTGAGTGTGAATAGGCTGAAACCTACACGATCCATGGCATAATCCAACTGTGTTTAACACAGTAATACTTCAAATACGTCAAAAGTTGAAACGTATGAAATTAATACCATCCAACGGTCCACCTTTAGAATTCAGGTGTCCGTTCCACAAAATTATCGTAGCGTTAAGGTTATCGCAACTCATATACTTTAATTAAGACCAACGACTGTCGTTGCGCTACCGTACGATCGCCTTGTGGAACGGGGCCTTGCACCTCAAAGTTTACAACACGTCACAATACCCGATGACGTAATTTGTGGAATTTTGTTGCAAGATCCTTCGGCGAAACAATGCAATGTGACGTCAACCTAGCAACAAGGTTGCTGGGGTCATCGAGTGTGCATAAGCTCCTCTCAGTGATCTATCATCTCCACACGCAATGTCGTTGAATAAGCCAAGGGATGTTGAGAGCTTTCAATGTTTGTTCGTGAAACGTGTTCCGAGAGTACATAAGCACGCGTTTTGGTATTACACAATGTGTAATACAGCTGTATGTTTATTAAACGGGTGATGTCTTCACGGGCAAGTAATAAATGAAGATAGTCATTATGATCTCACAGGAGAATATGTATACAAACACACACAATATGCTTTACTTGCCTGTCAAAAATTATCAAGATTATATTAACAGTTAAAGTGCAAGTTTCATGGTTATATAAAATTTTATAGAGGCTCCCTATAAGGTCCACCCAAATGACACGCTTGATCTCACAACAAGCCAGACTCTCCGTTTGCAACCAAGCAAGCATGTCTCTGTTCACGGGCATGGTCGGTAGCACACGTTCCCGGCAAAGTAAATCTATTCTACACCCTTTTCATCCCTACGACTTTCTCATATCCACAATAAAACAATGACTATCTGTACACTGTACTCTTCTTTGTATGAGTGGGATTAAAGGATCATGTGACCGAGGCCATTTATATAACATATAGCGTTTATTGGTCGTGTTTCTTTGCGTGAAATGATGAAGCATCGATTGTACTTGCCGATTTGTCCGACTCTGATACTGACAATAGTTTTCGAGTTACAAGAAGATGAGTGTGTTAATTTCTGAGGAAGTACAAGTGAACCTCTGACCTACAATAGTGACGAAAATATACAGGATGATCCCCATCTTGGACGCGTGGATTACAAGTGGTTCCACAGATTAGTTGCATCCGTGTCACTTGCTGGCGTATTACATTACATACACACAAGGCTAAGTGGTGAATGATTCTTAAACTGACTGCTGGCATACATTGTGCAATAATCTACTGCAGGTGCATCAGCTTTAGTGAGATGTAAGTGACTATAGGTGAGACAAATACAGTTCTGGTTTACTAGAGCTAAAAGGCTACAAAGATCCCTTTAACGTCACTGATGGGGGATGGGGGAAAGTGCGTTTTTACAGATTCTTTTGGGTTATTTCAATTACAGAGCTCAAAATGCGTACTTTTAAATAAGCGCAGCAGCGCCAAGTTACATTTCCACACTGTTTTTCTCGGCCATCGTAATGTACATGATACTGGCTACAAAACGATGTAAGAAAGATCCATTACTATTTTTCATTATTCTTGCACTTTAATCCACATCCATCCATTTGCATCGCTGTTATGTACATAACATTCAATCTCAAGGTACAAAGAAATACTGGTGTCACACAACATGTACAATGAGGGATACCTTCAGGAATGTTAAAGTTCTAAACGTCTTTGGTTGCATCTAATATCCCAGTACAGACATTATCCCGAATTCACAGTCCACAACAAATAAGCAACAATGGGTGTAGCATAACCTATTTACAGTTCAATGTATGTTCACTAATTCACCGGATATAGTCCTAACGTCACAGTGTGGGACGTCTTCTTCTTCCTTTCCTACCTCTCATGAAGGACAGCTGTACAACAGAGACACACAGAAGCCAGCTTCGCCTGTTGCCGCTCCCCATTTCATCACTGAGTAAGATAGTGAAACCATTACCACCCTATACTGAGTTCTCTTTTCAAAAAAGAAAGTAAGAATAGGTTTCCTGTTTGAAAAGGGTTAATAGGAGCGTTGTGATCATATCACTCCTTCTTTTTCTTTTACTATTTCATAAGCCTTGGTCTACAAAGTTTCTCTTTTCTTCCACATCTGCCTCTTCCATTGTTGCTCCATATATGGTATCAACTGGTGGATACATTTCCCCACCAAAAACAAGGTAATCTGGTGTATACTATGAAGAACAGAGTACACAGGAGTTAAAAGCTATCAGTGCCAAGTCACATTGATTTTTTGCAAAATACTTGCTCAGGTGAGATGAGTTGAAGTGGGGTTAAATTTAAACCTTTTCCCTTGGTCAGAATGCAGACTTTCCAGAACTCCATAAATCAGTAACATTCCCGTATACATGATGTTTTGCGACAGTTTGTGCTCTCTGATTCAGCAAAGGATAGCATTCCACATGCTTCAGAAAATAGTCCATTACCACCATAATGTAACTGTTACCTCTTTCTGTACATGTATCTGACTATGGGCCTGTAATGTCTACTGCTATCCTTTCTAGTGGTTGAACAACTTGTCTAGTTGGTTCCATTATTGGTGCTTTTGGGGATTTACAAGCATTATTTTTCACTGCATATGTGTCCATACGTTCAGTTGTCTTGGCAGTTTTGTTATTTCTTTCATCATACGCTCGGGAACAGGTTCTTGGTCCTAGCCTTTTCAACACCTGATTTCCACCTCAAACCCATAATTCCATCCACCACTTCTATTATGTCCTATTCCGACCAGAGCAATGTGTTTCTTTTCAGTCTGGTCGATGCCCTTTATTCACCCTGCTCAATAACCCACTTTGTTTTTTTGTTGCCCCTCTATCCAATTCATTTCTGTTTGTCCAACCATTGTACTTTGACTCATTACAAAGCTGATATCAAAGTTTTCTTCAGGAAAGACTTGATGGCACTCCTTGACATCCAAACTGTACTTCCTGCAGACCTGGCCTGTGTTCAATTCAAAATCAAAATCAAAGATTCTATCCATCTGGTAACTTGACCACAATGATTCTTGAATTTATATAATCATTTCAAAGAGCCACCAAAGTGCCATGATCAGTGCTTATCACAAACTGACATCTCATCAAATAATGTTCACACATTTCTGTGAAAGCAAGTAGTTCTTTCCTTGTTTTGTGCAATGTTTTCTCTCTGCTTTACTCAGGGCTCTGCAAGCATATGCAGTATCTGCAGTAACAGTATCTTACACCTTGAATTAGCCTCAACACTCCACCTATCCCTGTATCTGTGTCAAGAATATAGTCCTTATCAAATTGGGGTTATGATAAGATTGGGGCTTCAGTTGGTTATTGGTTCTCTCAAGTGTCCCCAAGACCAGCTTGTGCGATCTGCATAAGGCTAGAAAAACTTGCAGGACGATTAGTGGCCCAAAATTAAAATCTATGGAATTGGTACAACCCATGGGTGGAGACAAAGCTGTTTTTTTCTTTATCTTCAGGTTGAATTTCAATCAGCCAATATTTAGAAGCACATCCCAGGCAACTGAACAAGCTACATCTTGACAGATTATCCAACGTATCATCAAATTTTGCTCGAAGGAGAATTCAAACAGTGAAAATAAATGCAAAATCTTTTTTTTCTCAATTTTCTTGGGTACTTACACAAATTCCGATGACCTAAGTTGGCATTTCTGGAATCATTTTCCTAACTTCTTCTTATCTTAGGTATGGTAATCTATGTAAAGGTTGTTTGAGGTTATAAATTGCCAATATCGATCTCAAATATGACCAAGTCAGTTCATCCTCGATCAGAATCATCTTCAGAGAAAATATCCGAATATTTCAACATATTGAATTGTTTTGACTGACAGGTCTCCCTGTCGAATCTGCACTATTCTCAGTTTGTTCAATTTGTATCTCTCAATGCGGTTGCACATTTGACAAAGCTGCATTGGTACTGTCAGTGGTAGACCCAGGAAATACCATTGGTGTGAAACTTGCCAATGTGTGTATTCTCAAAGAAAATTACGTTTTTTTCAGATCAGTTACATTCATAACTCTACCTGGACAGATAGGGTTTTCTGGATATCAAATATCCAGTAAAGTTAGCAAATTGATATGAATTCAGTTTCACCCAAAATACCATTGCATGTCCTGCATGTACTACCTTTCTCTCAAAAACCTGATCTCTGGAAATAAATGGTTTCTTAGCTTCAGTAGTTTATGCAATAGAGCGCCATCCAATCTTCATCCTCTTTGGGGACATATCTATTGTAGCTGTCATGACTCGAACATGGTTGCACCAAGAATCAGACCACAACTTCCAGAACATTCAAATACCTTTAGCCGCTTATTCTTGCAGATATTAATGTATGTATGTACATGTATAACCACTTTATCCTTATTCCCTGTGAATTTACTGACCATGCAGCACGACTACTGGTTCCCTAAAGATTCCTTCCCATAAACAGAAGCATACACGACACATTCGGCCACATTCTGTAATTTCACATTTTGCTGGTTCACACTATATTTATCAATAAGAGCCGTTGAATGACACCTTAAATTCGTGCTCCTGTCTTGAGGTCTTCTACAAATTCCTTGAATATGGCCCGGTTGACAACAGTTATAACACGTCCGCTCTCCGTAGCTCCTATGGCACAAGGTTAATGGTTAAATAGTATCCAACATTCCTAAAATGAAAATGTGTTCTGATTTAATGTAGCTCATAAGTGTTTCTTGTTGTTCAGAAATTACTGACACCATCTTTCACAATTGTAGAGATAAAAGGGGATCTAATAGTTTCTGTAGCTTCAACAGACGACAGCCAACCATATGCCTCTCTCACTGCCTGGTCCAAAGTGTCCACTGTTGCATGACTTACAGCAAGTCTAAGTTCCCTTGGCACTCATCTTTTCATGAACTCATCCATGGCTACCCCATCAACGTCAATGCGCCTCATATCTGGGTAAACACTGTAAGCTGACAGCCAAACACTTTCGCCTTTCAATATCTTCCTACATTGAGCTCTACCTTGTAAATGTGCCTTCTTCTGGAGAGATATATGATTTCAAGGCATCGGAAAGGGCAAAGTCATTCTTTTGCACTGCCGTACAACTGTTGCAGGTTGATTTTGCTTCATCTTTTAAACACAAGGCCATGAGCGTTGATTTCACAATCAGCGATTCATGTCCGCACAAAGTTCAAGATCTTCCACCCTTCCTTCACAGTTTTCTCATCATGAAAACTTCTCTGTCACAGTATCTGATCGAATATTAGTCGAGTCTCCTTCCATTGAGAAAGAATCACATCACTTCCACCAATGTTGGACCGGAATTATACAGTGATGACACATTTTATTTTTAGCTCACACATTCACTATTTACATGTTACTCTCGATACCGCATGCATACATGTATTACCCTGACAATCCGACACATATATATGTTGTCAATCCTAGACACCGTTCACTGGAGATCGTTTTGTTCTATTTTGTTCTTAAAGTTGGATGATAACGAGTTTTCTTGTATTTGATCTTTGGTTTGCTTGAATGAGCTTTCAAATGCATATAATAGGAGTTGACACGTGTGCCACAGCCCTGAAAATGTGGGGATAAAACTGACAATAACAAGTTGTAAGAATAGGAATCAAAAGAACTGTAATCGAAAGTAACTTTGGCTATTGCTGATGGCATGCAGCTGTTATTCTTCCTTTGCATGGCGCCATCATTTGCCTTACTTTGTGATTAAGACCTTTACTGAATACAATGTATATCTCCGTGAAATAAATCTGGTGACCAAAAATGCCTGGGAGCTATTTATATGTGTATACCAAACGCTGACAAATCTTAGAGTCGGAGTAACTCACTGGTTTTGAACAGATTAATCACTTATGTCTTTGACGATTGTAATAATTGCAAGACAGGAAAACGAATTTTCATAACTGTGTGGATATGTGATGGTGATTTTTCGAGGCTTTTAGCAATATTCTAACAATATCACGGCTGGGGGATGGGGACATATTTACGTCGTCATTTTGTTAAATGTAGGGTTCCGAAATAATAACCCAGAATCTACCATCACTGTGATGAAAGGACTGTCAGTTGGAGATATGTAGCAATGATGAAGACAGGGCCGTTTTTTATACTTCTTTTCCCCATTTACTGAACCCAAATTAATTATGCAAACATTTTAATCCAATGTCAGGTAAAAAGTGTGCATAATATCAAACAGCAGTTTTGATAACCATTTGAGATGTCCACGCAACATGAATAAGCACTATACTCTTGGAAACGTATATTACACAGACTGGAACAAGCACACAGTGACATGTCTTTTATCATAAATGAAATGCGAGGGATGGCTGAAAGGTTATGAGCCTAACCACGAAGGATATTACATCCTTAACAGTGTACAACACTGTCAGTAATTACAAGCTGCCATTCAACTAAATACACAATCAGGCAGGATATTTCTGCTGGCATCAAAGTGACAACGTGTTCTCTATTGGTCCAAATGTACAAAACTGGCTACCACATTGTCATCACGTATCGCTTACTGAAAGGGTTAACACCTACGCCATCCATGCACACATGTTGCCAACTTTTGGAGATGATTCTCTTTCCATGGCCACTGTTTAGAGGTGGGCAGCGCAGTTCAAGGGGGGGGGGGGGGGGGAGAGTGAGAATAAAATATTGATCATATAAGAGTCACGTTATTTTTCAGGGCATTTTCATTTGCAGAAGCCCAAGGTCTTCCATTAACGGCCCGACGTATTTCCTATCAGAGAGTTGAGAATTTTATGAGTAATGCCCTTGGCATGACAAACGTTTCAACACTAATACACAGATTCCCGATACGAAACGCTCCAGGTTCATCATCTCTTGTGAGAATTTACATCGTTTTGAAGACGACCAAGCTGATTTTGTTGTGTGATTTGTAACTGTGGGTGGGCTCTTGGGTAAACCACCATCAGCCACAGACTCAACAACAGTCAAACAAGTGGAAACATCTAACGTCTCTTCCTCCGAATTAGGCAAACTTCCCTTCAGCTTGCAAGGAAATGGCTACGGTTTTCTGGCATTTCAAAGTAATCCTACTGTTGGACCCTAGGTCAGGTCATTAATGGTCCATTAAAGTTAATCTGCTCAAGTAACTGCGTATATCAAGGCTAAACGTTGTGAAATACTCACTTAAGGTGAAATGTTCAACCAGGACAATACATCTGGACACACAACTGGTGTCGCCATAGCTGCAATGCATGACGTTTGAACTCATTAAACATCCTCCGTATTCAGACGTGGAACCTTCAGATTTCGACCGCTTCTCAAAACTTGACAACAGAACTGTCTGGCAAACATTATGTAAATTATGACGTCATTTCTGCTGTGAAAGCCTTACACCACCAGGAAGAAGCCTTCTACACCAGTGGGATCTAGGCACTCAAGCACCGTTGACAGAAGTGTGGACCTCGGAGGGCATTATGTTGAAAAAGCATTGGTAAACAACTCCATTAACGCAGTCAATAATTGTTAATCTCAACTTTTCAGCCAGCCCTCGGATTACTGAGTTTGGCTGAAAAGAACTGAATAAAAACTGGATAGAAAGCAATCAATGTAATATTGAATGCAACCCTAATGTCATGTAAAGGGATATTCTTGATTCAAATTTGTTACAAACAGTGCGTCAATGTGTTATATACTCAAAGAAAACAGATTATTTAGCTAAGTAATTTACTTCTTCATTTTGCTGTGCTACGTTCTTCACATGCCCCTAATAACATATGTGTGGTGTAGATGATACACTGAACTGGATAGTACATATTGTGTTCCAATCAATTATCGGATCACACGATATACACACTGGAGAATATACTCCTCAACTGCACGTAAATTCTTTAACATTAACTGGCTGTCCACAAGAGACCTGTCTCTACCGTGGAAGTAAGCACATCGACGCTATGACGCCACTAACCTTGTTGTCCTCCTCAATGTCAATCCATGTGTGGTAAGCTGCGTCCATGTGTCGTCACAGTGCGGTAGTGCCAGTAGTACACGAACAGATTGGAACCTACAGAAACAGCCGTACTCCTTTGCTCAAATTTGTGAGACAACACACGCTACAAAACGAGGACACCTTCGAAATATCGGTATCTACAGTCAAGCCGCAAGCTAATGGTCGTTCGGTACGCTAGTCATTGGCTACAGCACCATGCCATACTACCACAAGTCCACTGTATAATCGATTGCCACGTCCTGCAAACCCTGACGTTAATGTGGTCATCGCAGTGCTTTGAATAACGAAAGGATCGTCTTTGCAGGCGCGATTGGTTGGGATTGTCACTTTCCTTCTATTTCCACCTGTATTAATCGTAGTAGCCCTAATTCAATCATTTCAAAAGATCATGTATGTCCAACATACACTTTGCATAAGAATCGCAGTGGTATCATGTACGAATCGGAAGTACGTTTTATCGATTTCTTTGAATGTTTCTTCATATCTTCACGTTAAAATACTTTTATTATGCATCAACACCCCTATATGTCCGCGTCGGCAAAGGATCTCCCAAAACACAACACATCTGCTTTTCCCAGGCGGCAGTAGATCTCCCCATGTACCCTTCACATCAACATATCTCAGTAGGCAGTAGATCTCCCCATACACAACACATCTACATATCTCAGTAGGCAGTAGATCTCCCCATGTACCCTTCACATCAACATATCTCAGTAGGCAGTAGATCTCCCCATACACAACCCATCTACATATCTCAGTAGGCAGTAGATCTCCCCATGTACCCTTCACATCAACATATCTCAGTAGGCAGTAGATCTCCCCATACACAACACATCTACATATCTCAGTAGGCAGTAGATCTCTCCATGTACCTACACATCAACATATCTCAGTAGGCAGTAGATCTCCCCATACACAACACATCTACATATCTCAGTAGGCAGTAGATCTCCCCATGTACCCTTCACATCAACATATCTCAGTAGGCAGTAGATCTCCCCATACACAACCCATCTACATATCTCAGTAGGCAGTAGATCTCCCCATGTACCCTTCACATCAACATATCTCAGTAGGCAGTAGATCTCCCCATACACAACCCATCTACATATCTCAGTAGGCAGTAGATCTCCCCATGTACCCTTCACATCAACATATCTCAGTAGGCAGTAGATCTCCCCATGTACCTACACATCTGCATATCTCAGTAGGCAGTAGATCACAATATGTCTTGTCAACTATGTCAACTATCAGTACATGGAGTGTCCCCAATTTCTCATGGCTTCTGCATGGTACAATTTGGATTAGGTTCGCAGAATACGCGCACCTTTTCGCGAACACCTGGTATCATCACCAATAATAGTAGTTCATAAACACATGCTCATGATATGGTCGGATTAGTACAATCGACTGTGCTTTAACAGAGATTTCTTTTGAATATAGAAAGGGTTCTGTCGCTTTTATTTCGAAGGACACCCCTAGGAACTGCTGCTGGAGAGCCAGGAACAACCCGTCCTGTATCTGTTTTTGGACGAGGCTACACCTGATCGCAAATACGTTCAATGGCGGTAATGTCTGGACTCTTGGCGGGCCAAGGGAGGACTGTGACTTTTTGGATTGGCAGGACATCAGCTGATGACTTGGGATGACATGTTGAAACTCGAAGTTTCTCACAATTCTGCGCTTGAATGGTGCAACCAATGGTTGTAACACCTCACCATCGTGGCGAATCCATATATACTTAGAAGCTCTGTTCTGCGATAACACGTTATTCCAACCTTTGCCCCACCCCCTCACCCTTACTGCTTTTTTTTCCTCCCCCCTTCACCCTCCTTCACATCACATATGGTGGACTCAGCCTTCCTTTAATCCAGACCATCAGTATATACTGCGTGGAGCGTGGAAGAGGAACAATCAAACATGTGTAGAGCATTGCAAGCTCGCCCGTTCGCCCCGGTATCGATCTCTTGCAAAGTCAATCAGCTAGCAACGAGATCGATAACGCACTTCCCCCTCCTGACACTGACAGATGCGGAGCTTTAAATGGGACATGATTGATTCTGTGCAGATTGAGAAGAAGCAAAGCGTTGGGTATTCAATGCCCTAATTACTTAGTATTGGTGAGATACACAAAATGGCATCTCACAGTGTTATCGAATGCTCAATTATATGTCATATGTCATATCGTCGATTGACCCAAGCTTGTATTTCCAGACTGTATTTTGTGGGATGCTCGCGTTCTTGAAATCAACACGCATGTCTTCTTTATGTTCCCGTGTTTGCCAGCAGGACTAACGTCTTAATGTGTGTGACATCAAAACAACGACAACGTTTTGCTCTTGTGTAATACCTCTTTTTTTCGTTTCAAGGTCATTATACGAGAACTACAGGGGTTTGAATGGCAACCATCTATACAATTGGCCGGTAAAATTCATTCCCTTCCCGGTTTATATATGACATACAATTATCATTTTCCCATTTCATTTTTCTGCTATTTCGCTTTGTACTCTCACCCTACTGCTTGTAACCACACTGACTGCCTGTCGTCTGAAATCACCACACCCTGAACACACTCCACTACAGAGCAGCCACTTCGTTTTTACGTGTGTGCGTGCGTGCGTGTGCGCGTGTGTGTGTGTTTGTGTGAGTGTGTGTGTGGACGAGGAGGGAAACGTCTGTGTGTGCCATACACCATGTAGACCAGGCGGATAGGGTCTATGTGTGCCATACACCATGTAGACCAGGCGGAAAGGGTCTGTGTGTGTCATACACTATGTAGACCAGGCAGGTAGGGTCTATATGTGCCGTACACCATGTAGACGAGGCGGGTAGGGTCTATGTGCGCCATACACCATTTAGACCAGGCGGGTAAGGTCTATGTGCGCCATACACCTTGTAGACCAGGCGGGTAGGGTCTATGTGCGCCATACACCATCTAGACCAGGAGGGTAGGGTCTCTGTGCGCCATACACGATGTAGACGAGGTGGATAGGGTTTATGTGCGCCATACACCATGTAGACGAGGCGAATAGGGTTTATCTTCGCCATCCACCATGTAGACGAGGCGGGTAGGGTCTATGTGCGCCATACACCATGTAGACCAGGCGGGTAGGGTCTATGTGCGCCATACACCTTGTAGACGAGGCGGATAGGGTTTATGTGCGCCATACACCATTAGACGAGGCGGGTAGGGTTTTTGTGCGCCATACACTTTGTAGACCAAGCGGGGAGGATCTATGTCTGTCATACACCATGTAGACCAGGCGGGTAGGACCTATGTGTGTCATACACCATGTAGACCAGGCGGTTAGGACCTATGTTTGTCATACACCATGTAGACCAGGCGGAAAGCACCTATGTGTATCATACACCCTGTAGACCAGCCGGGTAGGACCTATGTGTGTCATACACCCTGTAGACCAGCCGGGTAGGACCTATGTGTGCCATACACCATGTAGACCAGGCGAGTAAGGTCTTTGTGTGTCATACACCATGTAGACGAGGCGGGTAGGGTCTGTGTGTGCCATACACCATGTAGACCAGGCGGGTAGTGTCTATGTTTGTCATATACCATGTAGACCAGGCGGATAGGGTATGTGTGTGTCATACACTATGTAGACCAGGCGGGTAGGACCTATGTGTGTCATAAACCATGTAGACCAGGAGGGTAGTGTCTATGTGCGTCATACACCTTGTAGACGAGGCGGGTAGGGTTTATTAGCGCCATACACCATGTAGACCAGGAGGGTAGGGTCTATGTGCGCCATACACCATGTAGACGAGGCGGGTAGGGTTTTTGTGCGCCATCCACCATGTAGACGAGACGGGTAGGGTCTATGTGTGCCATACACCATGTAGACCAGGCGGAAAGGGTCTATGTGTGTCATACACCATGTAGACGAGGCGGATAGGGTCTATGTGTGTCATACACTATGTAGCCCAGGCGGATAGGGTTTATGTGCGCCATACACAATGTAGACGAGGCGGGTAGGGTCTATGTGCGCAATACACCATGTAGACGAGGCGGGTAGGGTTAATGTGTGCCATACAACATCTAGACCAGGCGGGTAAAACCTATGTGTGTCATACACCATATAGACCAGGCGGTTAGGACCTATGTGTGTCATACACCATGTAGACCAGGCGGGTAGGACCTATGTGTGTCATACACCATGTAGACCAGGCGGATAGGGCCTATGTGTGTCATACACCATGTAGACCAGGCGGGTAGGACCTATGTGTGTCATACACAATGTAGACCAGGTAGGTAGGGTCTATTTGCGCCAAACACCCTGAAGACCAGGCTGGTAGGGTCTATGTGTCTCATACACCATGTAGACGAGGCGGGAAGGGTGTGTGTGTGCCACACACCATGTAGACGAGGCGGGTAGGGTTTTTGTGCACCATACACCATGTAGACGAGGCGGTAGGGTCTGTATGCGCCATACGACTTGTAGACGAGGTGGATAGGACCTATGTGTGCCATACACCATGTAGACCAGGCGGGTAGGGTCTATGTGTGTCATACACCATGTAGACGAGGCGGGTAGGGTCTATGTGTGCCAGGGGCGGTCGGGTAGCCTAGTGGTTAAAGCGTTTGCTCGTCACGCCGAAGACCCGGGTACGATTCCCGACATGGGTACAATGTGTGAAGCCCATTTCTAGTGTCCCCCGCCGTGATATTGCTGGAATATTGCTAAAAGCGGCGTAAAACCAAACACACTCACTCACTCACTATGTGTGCCAAACACCATGTAGACGAGGCGGGTAGGGTCTATGTGTGCCATACACCATGTAGACGAGGCGGGAAGGGTTTGTGTGTGCCACAAACCAAATAGACCAAGCGGGAAGGGTCTATGTGTGCCATACACCTTGTAGACCAGTCGAGAAGGGTCTGTGTGTGCCATACACCTTGTATACCAGGCGGGAAAGGTCTATGTGTGTCATACACCATGTAGACGAGGCTGGTAGAGTCTGTGTGTGCCATACACCATGTAGACCAGGCGGGAAGTGTCTTTGTGTGCCATACACCATGTAGACAAGGCGGAAAGGGTCTATGTGTGCCATACACTATGTGGACCAGGCGGGTAGGGTCTATGTGTGCAATACACCATGTAGACCAGACGGGTAGGGTCTATGTGTGTCATACACCATGTAGACGAGGCGGGTAGGGTCTATGTGCGCCATACACCA